GAAAGATTACTGAAGAATGTGCTGGGACTATAATGTCCTGAAATGAGGAGAGCTAGGCAGAGTCACCCAGCTTTCATTCCCACACTCCTAGAAACAGGACATCCTTTGATTCTTTGGCTCACTGTGTCATGTGTCCATGGGGATAAAACCTGGGTAGGCTGCTTTCTAGAGAAACTGTCTGTTTTGAGAATTCCTTACCTGGAGAGATGAAAACAAACATCTACCCCTTCTTATAAGACCCCAACAACAAACCAAAGTACAATTCCACCACAGTCCAACTTGGGAAGACATTGAGTCCACTGGGCTTGGCTTGCTCACAGAGCATGGGTAGAGGTTTCTTACAGGAGTATGGGTGACCCCGAAGCAGCTGCACCACCAGTCTCACCCCAGCATGGATGACTGCCCCACAGTTGCATAGAGTGCCCTCTTGAGTTAACCTCTCACAGTCTATACTAATATCTCCTGAGACCAACAGACCATGTGCAATTATGATAGAATTACTTAGAACTGGCCAGGAAGTGTCAAAGAGAGCAGCTGGAATCTCAGGCGAGGCTCCAGTGATCCTTCCCATCTCCTCCTTCTATGAGAGAGCTCAACAGTCAACAAACTGGATCCTGGTGGTCCCTTGAAGGTCGTTGCAGTTGCTGTGATGAAGATGATGGCTGATATGCTAGGGGGTAGAGTACTAGACAACACATAATGAAGGCAAGTTTCTTGGGTCCACAGAGCCTTGGATACCTCAGTAGTTTACTGATCACACATGTAAGCCAAAAGAAATACTCAACAATTGCTTTTATTGAGAATTTATGACCAGATGCAGGGCATGGTGGTGCTCATCTGTAACTCCAGCATTTGGGAAGTGAAGACTAGAGGATCAGGAATTGAAGGCTAGACTTGGCTATATAGAAGTTTGAGATCAGCACAGGTGTATTTGTTGTTTTCCTCATTGCTATAACAAAATATCTGATCAAAACAACTTAGGGAAGAAAGGGCTTATTTTGGCTTGCATTGGAGAGGAAGTCCATCATGGCAGCAAGAGTGTGGGGCTGCTTATCACTTTGCATCTGCAGCCAGGAAGCAGAGCAATGAATGTAAGTGCTCAGCTTGCTCGTCCTTTTTATTCAGTCCAGGACCCCAGCCCATTGAGTGGTACCACCCACAATTAAAGTCAGTTTTCCCACTTCAATCTATCTAATTAGATTATTTATCCAATCTAAATAATCCCTCACAGGCATGCCCAGAAGTGATTCCAGACACAGCCAAGTTGACAATATTAACCAAAATACTGAGCTACCTGAGATTTCGTCTTAAAAACAACAACAAACAAGAGCAAAACAGACATTAGATCCAAATAATACAGTATTTATGTCCTAATATCTTGGTGGTCATTTGAAAAATATAGTACTTACAGGGACTGCAGTTGTAGCTCAGTGGTAGAGCTTGAATCCCCAGTACCAAAAACAGGGATAAAGAAGAGGGAGGGATGAAATGTGAGACTTAGATACATTGAAGGAAATTTTAATGTATTATTTAATTACTAACAACCATAATTACTAATG